AAAGCTATTGGATAATATGAAACTCTTATAGAGTATATAATAAAATAATATAATTCATTTAAAACTCTTTTTCTTTTTTTTTCGTATTGTATTATATTGTATTCCCTATTATCTAGCATCTTATTATATCCTTTTACTATCCAATCAGGGTAGTTTTGAATTATTTCCATATATATATATAATAGATCGACAGTATATTTAAATGTATATAGAGTTTGTAGATATATATATAGATCGATAGCTATATGCAAAGTGTATTTAGGGTTCGTGGATATATATATAGATCGATAGCTATATGCAAAGTATATTAGGGTTTGTAGATGTATATATAGATCGATAGCTATATGTGACAACAGAGTATATATATTCGATAAGGGTATATAGATATAAATCGATAATAAGGGTATATACCTCTGGTAAAATATTATATTCAATTTCACTATACCTAGTAACGTGTAGTATTGATATGGTATGTGTATGGCAGTAATCTATATTATACCTTCAATGAGGTATTGTATTGATATTAATATATCAAGGACAATAAAGTATAGTATATATATATATACTAGTATATCTATAACAGTGAGGTATAATATTAATATTAGTATACCTAATGCTATATAGTACTCTTTCTTATTTATACTACCTAGTAGTACAACAAGGGTATGGTATAACGTATATATAAATAGACTAAAAGCTTGAAGAGGGATTCGGGATTGATATGAACTCGTACTAGCGTATGGATATACTTATGTGACGTATATGGCGTTTGGACTAAGTGAATACGTATCAACTCAATAAATTTTAGATGCAATTCGATAAATACTCGGATTTCAAGCGCTTTTTCGATTGTTTTTCGGTTTTTACAACTCTTTTCTTACTTTTTCGAATCGAATATCGATGTGTATAGGTTTGTATTTAGTCATAGTTATAAGATATCAGGCTCATAACCTATTATAGATCATAAGCTAATATATGAGTATAGTATATAAGAGGGAATAAACTAATATTAGTTTATTATGGGAAGCTGGCTTGTATTAATAACTAAATAGCTATGAAACACGTGATTTTCATGAAACAGTATATTATATTCTTATTTTCTTTTTCTATATTCGAGGGGAAAAGGCCTTATTTTATGCTTTTTCCTACTAATCTAGCTTTCCACTTTCGTTTATTTCTCGTAGATCTCTTCCTAATCCGGCCATTCCATCAAATAAAGCTTTTCTTTCTTATTCCTTATTCGATTTCGCTAGTACTATGTCGATCTTACTACGAATGGATTGAAAGAACTAATAAAGAGCTAATAAAGAATTGATTTTCAGGCCGTTCTAGGCTAAGAGCTCTCTTAAGCGACGATCATGTGATTTGATCATGTGATCTTGTGATTCGCTCTTAGTATACTATATGAATATAGAACTATATATATATATAAAAAGATATATTATTATATTATTTTTTATATAAAAACAATAATAGTAATGATTATTACTAGTACCGAAAGATGTAACAGAAGTAAATCAATACAGTCAGGCAATCGAGAATGGATTATAGTAATAATATGTGGAAATGAAGAGGATAAAAACTATTCCCCTATTTCTAATGATTTAGGAACAAGTTCATCTCTCTAATTAATATACCAAAATCGATCTTCCTATAGATTGGGCTATTAAACCTATATCTAATAAATAAATAAACAATAAAACAGATTTAAAATAATTAAAACATTTCAATAAGTATATTAAGAATCAAAAAAAGAGCAGATATCGAATATGATACTAAATAGATATAAAAGCTATGAAATAAGAGCTTTTTAGGTATATTGTAAAGAGAATGATATTATATACTTGAATCTATTATTACATTCAAGTTATTTAACTCAACTACTTGATATAACTGTTTTAGAATCTGAAACATTTATATGGTGATCAAATTGATAAGTTTATTAAGATATATATCAATCATATTTGAAGATTGAATTCTTTATAGCTTTTAAAACTGTATATAAAGAATCAATTACCTTTCAAAATATAAATCAGAATTTAAAGGAGCAAGTTTAATATTCTTTAATTCTGATATTATACTTTCGAAATTGAATATTCGAATTTGTATACCTACTCCCTCCTTTTTCGATTTAGATCAATAGATTTCTCAAACCCTTTATAATTCAATTAAAGTTTTTTCTCAATCAATTTTAATGAAATCTCGAATAACTCAATATCAATCAAACTCTTCTATATTATATTCAAATTGTATTAACTTTAGCTAAAGGTATAAAAAGATTAGCTTATGAGAATATACTTTTGAGTATAAAGATTTGTATATTTTGAAAGCAAATGAGGTATTAAGTAAATATCGATATACAAAAAAATCCAATTATATCAAGAAGAAATACTTACTAGATAAAAGGCTTTTAATATATTATCTCAATAAAAGGTTAATATTCAGATTCAATATAACGAGCATCAAAAAGAAAGGAATTTTAATAGAAAAATACTTTCTATTTAATGTTATAATAAATGCAGAAAGATAGGTTATAATATAAGAATCTGTCAAAATAATGTAATAGATCCTAGATTATTAGATTCTTAATAGTTTTAATTAATTGATTTAATTGTTGTTGAATAATATAGGTTTGAAGGTGTGAATTGAGGTGAAAGTGGCTCACTAGGTGATATGGCCCACTCGGTGATAAACCACGTTAATCGTTCTTTTAGGCTAATATCTAGTTTTATTTCAACTTATTATTTTTTTTTATAAATATATAATATTAGCTGTCTAAAATAACGACTTTCGAAATAACTAGAAACTAATTACTCGTAAACTTATATTATTAATCGACGACGATAATAACGTAGTTTAACAGTGGCTCGGCCATATCAGTAAGTCGGCCACCATTTTTACATACAAAATACGTCTGTGCACAACCGTGCACTTTCTTTATTTATTGATATAATTTTCTAAAAATCTAATATTAAATATTTGATTATATATAGATTATAAAAATCTAATTAGTTTTAATAAATTAGGATTTTTTAAATAGTTATTATAAAAAAAGCTTTTTTGTAACGAAAATCATGACAATTTTGATTTTTTTTGAAATCGAAAAGAATTATTTGAAAAAACAATTATTACTTTGAATAACTGATTTTTTATTATTATTTAATATTCTTTTCTTTTTCAAAAATAATGATTGATAATTTAAATATGAATATTGAAAAAGGCTGATTTTATATGTATTTTAAAGTGGCCGACCCACTGATATGGCCGAGCCACTGTTAAACCACGTTATAAGTCGGTTACCCTACTTTCGGGCCACCCCTGTTTTGGGCCACTTTTCGATCACTTTTTTACACCAAAAATGGAATTTCTAACTTTCTTGTTTATGAATAGAATTCATTGAAAATTTATATATATATAATTCAGATCGTTTTAAGCTTATTCTAAAATTTTTAGATTTTTAGGATTTTTCTATATTGAGATCTAAAGCTTCAAAATATCGATTTTTAATTTGTATGGGAATCACATACAAATTTGAAATTTTTATAAAATCTTTAATAACTTTTTAACAACAACTATTAAAAGAAAACTGTATATCTTTTTGAAAGTTTTGAATTCAAATCTATATAGAAATTCAAAAAAAATTCAAAAAAATTAACAGATATAGAGATATAGTATACAGTGAGTTTAGAATAATATAAATAATCCCTGTCATTTTGAGGGTACCCCTTTAAATATTTATTTATAAGAAATTTTCTATTTTTTTCTGAATCTTCTAAATAAGATATACTATAAATTTATAATAAAATTTTATAGTTTATTTTAAGCAATTTTTATTAGAAAGTTATTAAAGATTTTATAAAATTTTCAAATTTGTATGTGATTCCCATACAAATTAAAAAATCGATATTTTAAAGCTCTAGATCTCAATACAGAAGAATCCTAAAAATCTAAAAATTTCAGAATAAGCTTAAATCGATCTAAATTATATGTATATAAATTTTTATCAAATTATATTATATATTGATAGAGATATTAATAGGCCTAAAAGTGATTTTTAGTGTGAAAGGGTGGCCCAAAACCCTGGTGGCCCGAAAGTTAGGGTAACCGACTTACTAATATAATCTTTTAAATTTTAAATCTTAGATTGAATGACGACGGTGATATTTCTCAAACAGTTAAATATAGCTATGAGGTAGTGATTATTAGAAGTATTAAAGTGATTCAGGATAGGATGAGAAGAGGGGGTGCGAAAGTAAAGTATGATTTATAATTGATTGAGCGCTTATTAGCGTTAGTATTCGCTGTACGGTCTATTTTACTTTTTGAATTGATTTACATGATTGATTCGATGTTCGATTATATGTTAAAGTATATAGATATTTGACATTAACTACTAGATTCCCTATGTGATTTCCAAGTTTGTAGAAATCAATTTTTTTTTCCGAAATTCAGAGCCTGGAGAGTTCCCATCATTCTTTTCCCCCTTTTCTCACTCGCTAACATTAATTATAACTTTCCCTCTTGCATGACCTCCCTCGACAATAGCAAAAGCCTTTTCAAAATCACACAACGGCCACACACTATCTATCGTAGCCTTCACCTGACCTTCTCAAGCAACTTCGCAGTTTCCTCCAACTGCCCACCCTTCCGGCTCCATTACAAAAAACTTCCCTTCTACATCCTCCGCACCCCTTCCATCGGCTTCCACTCATTCGGATCCTCCTTAATACTCACCCACCCTCCCCCCCCTTCTTCACCACCTTCCACGCCTGGGCTAAACTCTCCCCCCCTAACAAATCCACCACCAAATCCATTTCCTCCCCGTCCTCTTCCCCCACCGCCCCCACCCCCTCCCCTCCCATAATCCCAACACCAGATCCGCCCCAAAACCCCCCCACATCTCCACATTCCCCTTGGAACAAACCCCAATCACCTCGCCTATCCCCCCGCCTTCGCAAACTGCACTAGCAGCGTTCCCACCCCCCCAGCCGCCGCATTAATCAACACCGTCTCCCCTCATTCTCAATCTTCGCATCGAGCGCAATACACGCAGCGCATACCCCCATGTACATACAATGCCTGCCATGCCGTAAAGGCGCTAAAGTGGTTATACTGGCTGCTTCTTCCCAGGAGAGATTGTGCGGTTTGCGCGCGAGTTCGGATGTTAGTGCGATGGTGTAGGCGCGTGCGTTTCCGGGGCGGGAAAAGGATGTGCGGGTGTAGATTTCTGTGCCGGGGGGGAAAGGGGAGTTAGGAGGTGCGGTAACAACGGTTCCTGAGAGGTCGTAGCAGGGGATTTGTAACTTGGAGGTTATGGAGGAGAGGGAGAGTGTAGGCAGGAGAGAAGTGTAGGCGGAGAGGTTGGCGGTCCAGGTTAGTTCGCCTGCGCAGGGAGAGGTGGAGTGCACGTGGATGAGATGCTCGGTGGTTTCTGGGGTGGCGATGGGTGTGGGAATTGTGGCGAGGATTAGTTTGGGGCTGTGGATGTCGGGTTGGAGGAGGGCTTTGATGGTTTGGGGGAGAGGGTGAGAGAGGGGGGTGGATGGCATGATGGTTGATGATGCAATTATTTCAATGAGTTTTTTGAATCTGAGATGAGCAGTAGTCAGGAACTAGTTATATATTTACTATCGTTAAGTATCGATGTAGTATATATGTATATATAAACACACAAACAAATAAGTAAGTACCTAGGTAATGTATTCCAATTTCAACAAGAAAAACAATCTCAGACACCGAAAACAAATCTCATCTCCTCATTCCCCCTCTTTATTACCACTTTCCACATACCTTCCACAACTCCTTTCCCATCAAATCAATCTTTTTTCCCCTCCCCGCATTTAAAAAATTCTCAATCCAATCCAATCCGATCTGATCTGATCTGACAAACCCAGCGCCCATTACCTAACCCTCACCTACCTTAGTATCTCGCGTCGCATCTCTATCTGTATCAGGACCGGGTTCAATACCTATGGAATAACATAAATCTATCGTAATACTACTCGTAAGATTACATACCTCGATTAGATCCAACTATCTACCCATCCACCCATCCATCCAATTATTCATTACTCATCCTCAAAACACCCTTCCTTACAAATACATGCCCGTGAAAAACAAAAAAAATATAAAGAAATTATAAGGTTAACATATCAAATGATCACTTACACACCCGAGTCCATATCACAAACACCCCAATTCCCCCAAACCATGCCTACATTCCAGACCACACCAACACCGCGATCCCCCCAAAAATCAATCATTCAAATCCATCCATTCAAATCGAAATCCAAATCCAAATCCAAATCCAAATCCAAATCCAAATCCAAATCCAAATCCAAATCCAAATCCAAATCCAAATCCAAATCCAAATCCAAATCCATCCAACCATCCAACCATCCAACCATCCCATTCGCCGCAAACACACAAACACGCATACCTATCTGCATCATGCTTACACATCACACCCCCTCACACACACCACCCACACAACCACACTCCACACCTAGAACCCTTGGCGCGGGCGCGGGTATACCAAAACTACCAAAACTACCAAAAATACCTACCCAGTCACCTAATAAGCGACCACCACCACCACCTCCTCCCCCACACCCTTCTCCCCCATACCCATACCCATCTCATCCAATTACCGATTACCGAAATCCAATACCCATCTCATCTCACCCCATACCCACTTCTCCTCTATACCAATACCCCACCAATACCCCCTTCTCATCTCACCCCATACCCACTTCTCCCCTATACCCATACCCCCATATCATCTCATCCAATACCCATCTTATCCAATTACCGATTACCGAAATCCAATACCCATCTCATACCAATTACCCATCTCATCTCATCCAATTCCCAATTACCGAGAGAGCAATGTGGGCGTGTTCTTTTATCTTTTATTTCTTATTTATTTTTGTATTTAATAGGCATAGATATAAGTATAGGCATAGATATAGGCATAGGCTATAAGATTTTCCATAGATAGATAGATACCCGACGTGCTGAGTTTTTGGTGTTCGTTTTGTGGAAGGTTCCAAGGTTGTTTGGGTATATATATAACAATGGAGAGGAGTGGGTAGGGAGGTAGGTAGGTAGGTAGGTATTAGTATTGATTTGGGGTTGAGATTCAAATAGGTGAATGGAGTGAAGGATTAGCTAATGTTGTTGGACTTGGTAATACATGTTGATCCATCTATTATTAGTGTATCCGTTATATTCTATTTACAATTTCCTTCGACTTAATTACTATCGACTCAATCGATGGCAAACAATCAATGAAAGGTAGCAAAGAAAATAACCCTAGTGAGTAACAAATAAAGCAATCTTCCCCATCCATCCATGCCGTCCATCCATCTCCCAACCCAGTCATCCAATGCACTTCACGAAATTACTTTCTTCTGCTTAAGAATTATAGGTTCATCCCAGGCACACAATCTCCCCCTCTCACACCTTCGCATTCACAAATAGAATTTCCATGGTGAGAAATCTAACCATCTTCCTCAAGGAAACCCATCAAAGCTCTAATACCACCAGCACCCAAACCACCCTTAGGATATGCAACATAAATTCCTTCATTCCATGTACCCATCTTCTCTCTGAACTCACTCTTGCCCAATAATCTTGCCTGCTTAACGATTGTCTCATAAGCCTTCTTCAACGCCTTAATTCTGTGTTTGCCCAAGTTTCTTCCACCTTCAATATGTGGTTGAGCACCAGTACCAAAAGTAATACGTTTGACATCTGGTTCTGCTGCACTCAATTGTTTCATTGAGTAAAGTAGGAGAGATTCTACAGTACCAGATGGAGCACCTGGGAATTCGAGGGAGAATTTAACCTTGGTATCCGTTTCAGGACTGAGTTGATGAAGAACATTAATAGCGTGAATAGTTCCATCAGGGCCTTGAGCGTAAAAGTATTTACGATGAGCCTCGTCAAGCCAAGGTCTGATTTCTGTAAGATGAACTTGGGTACCCTTCCTGTTCTTGTGCCAATCTTGGACTCGTGCGTTGACCTTTTCTTTGAAGTCCTCTGGAACTGGTTCATTGAATGGAAGAGTTTGAAGTTTAATACCCTCCTTTTCAGCATGTCGAACTTTGCGTGCCAAGTCATTATCCTTAGCTGCGGGGTTATTTCGAGGATCAGCACGTTCTTCGGCTGCTGGAGACAAAGTACGCCAACCGAACTTTTCACCAAGATATTCTTCTGTACGAGAACCGATAATCATCCAAATTGGCTTGAGATTCTTATGTTCGGTATTCAAGTAATTGAGAAAGGCAGAAACGATGGCTGGCATTTGAGATTTGTCGCAAAGAGGCTCTCCAACAATAATGGCATACGAGTTATGGATGACATAACCTTGTGCTGCACCAGTAGTCGAATGTCTCCATACGTGATAGCGCTTGTCTAACCAAGAGGTATTGGCTGCATCACCATAATTGGCAATTAACTTCTCCAAAGGTGGGAGTAATTCGGGTGTGAATTCCTTTCCTTCTTGTTCCCATATTGGGTGGAGTGTGGATGCATCCTCGTGACGAAGGACTAGAGTAGGAGGTACAGCTGGAAGTGATTTGGGATCTCTTGGAAATAGAGATGCAAGTCGAATATTGCCAAGACTGAGGAAAAGGTATGTAAGACGCTCAAGACCAATACCACAACCTGCGTGAGGTGGTGCTCCCCATCTGAAACCTTCAAGGTATTCAGACATACTTTCTGGCTTGACACCCTTTTGCTTCATACGTTTTTCCAAAAATTCAGCATCATGAATACGTTGGCCACCAGTCAAAATTTCTTGACCACGCATGAAAATATCGAAAGAATTAGTAAATCGATCATCTTCAGGATCGGGCATGGTGTAAAATGGTCGAACAGAAGCAGGGAATTTGTCGAGGATATAGTAATCAGTATGATACTTTTCCTTAACCAACGCACCCAAACGAATCTCAGCTCGGGTAGAGAGATCCTCGGTTTCCGACGGTATACTTCCATCTTCTTCAACCCAACCAGAATCTACCAACATCTTAACACCAACAGAGAATGGGATTCTGGGAGTCTCATCCAGCCATTCGACCTTGGTATGGGGGTAAAATTGGTCAATGAGATCAATTTCTTTTTGATATCGGTCGTAAATTCCTTTCCAGAGGTTCTTGAACATACCATCAATAAGAGTCAAAGCCTCATGATAATGTTCTTCCAAAGCCATCTCGAGATCCAATCCAGTATACTCGGTCAAATGACGTGGTGTGTTACTATCTTCTGCACGGAAAACTGCACCAATTTCATAAACTCTCTCGAAATCAGCTGCGATACACATTTGCTTAGCCAGTTGTGGGGATTGAGCCAAGAAGGCAGGTCTTCCAAAATAGTTGAGCTCGAAAACGGTTGCACCAGATTCAGTAGCACCTCCTTGTAATTTTGGTGTATGGATTTCAATGAAGCCTTGGGTGTCGAGATATGATCGGAAAAGGTTGCAAATTCCCGATTGGATACGGAAGATTGCCTGGGCTGGAGTTGTTCGTAAATCGATAATTCGGTTGTTCAATCTCACTCTTTGTGGGAGGGATCGTTTTTGGTGATGAGATGTATCCATAGAAGCTTTTTTGATGTTAGCTATAAATCTTCCAATTCCAAAGATGGAAGCTTACTTCTACTCTCCAAATTCTTATCATCCAATTTTGCAAAAGCATTGCGTGCAAGGTCAGTAGAAGCACGAGAAGGAGGACCTATTGGTGTATCTGTTGAGATTGGTGACATTGGCTGACTAGCTGCAACCGAATCATCACCAGAATCATCATCCATGTCAACTTCCTTTTCTCTGTTGATATTTTCTGCATCGTAGACTGTGAATGGTACATTTTCGGTCAACGGAACCACTCTGTGGATTTCGTAAACTTGCAATTCGTAATCATGAACTGTAGCGTTCTTGACAGTTTGGAGGGATTTTCGGATTTTGGCATGAACAACGACGATCGTTTCGGCGGGGTAATGTTCGACAGTTCTAACCATCTGTTCGGAAATTGTGCCATGTTCTGCGAAATAAATCGGATCAGATGCATTCCTCGAGGCAATTTTCACGATAAAACTTACCATTTTGTTCTTCTTCAGGTTTGAAGCTTTGCAAAACTCCCTGAATTGTCATAGTCTGTTGACGGAAAACGATAAATACCAATTTGGCAGACATTCTTCGCAAAGTATGCATTCGAGCTCTGAAACTAATGATTTTTCCATCCATTTCTATTCGAGTATTAGCAGATGAAGGTATGCAGTAGAAAATGCCAACTTACCAGCCCAATTGATGTTCTTGAATAGAGCTCTCTCCTCATGTCTCCAATGTTTACTTTGAATCATACTGTATGGTCGATAAAGTTGTGTGAGAGCTGCCGGACCTTCTTTCAAGAACTTCTCATCTTCTATTCTTGCCAGAGATTGCTTCTTCTTATTCTCGGCCTTTGCACGTTCCTTATCCATGCTTCTTCTCGCCTTATTCTGCTCAAGAATCTCTCGACTCACTCGTCGGGAGTTTGATCGCTCTGGCGTT